ATTTTTCTATCAAAACCCAAGCCTAAATCTATATGGAAACACGAATCAATGACAAGAATCTAGAAATAAGCAATAAAAACAAAAAGATGAACATGATTTAGAACCAAAAAGGATTCAAAGACAAAAACAACAATCAAGACTCAGACCAAATAGAAGTTTAGCAATAACAGTGCAAAAAACATTCAAGAAACATAGTGACAAAGCTTCATTAAAGAACAAGAAACTGACTCATGATATTCAGAAATGTGAGAACAACACAGAAAAAAAGAGTGCAACTATGCAGTGGTAGCATGTGCAATATGAAGATGGCACAAAACTAAAGCAGCTTATAACACAAGAACTGATTTACAAATGATTAAATATGGCAATCGAAATGAGGAATTTAAGCAGCAAGATGCGAACAAACAGATTCATAAAAGTATTATGCATACAAATAGTGAAAAGTTGAACCAGAAGAGAGAAGGGATTAGAAATTTACCAGATGAGGCCGAGAGCGGGAATGCGGAGTCAAAGAACTTGAACGAAATAGGGCAGTCAAAAGCTCGTCAGAGGAGGCAATCGAAACGGTTACAGAAAGCTCAAAGAAACAGCAATGGAGGTTGGGGATTTGTTAGAGAAAGAAAAACTTGAACGTAGAGGGAAATCAATAATGTAAAGTGAAGAGACGGAGAGAGAGGGAGATGTTTTGTTAAAACACGAAAAGGTGGCAAAGCATAAATGATATGCCTTAGACGACGTGCCTATCAGGCGGCGTGCGCAGAAGCGACCCGACCTAATGGCACGAGTCAGGTACGAATCAATGAGAAAAGAACGTGTGGATAAAGCGATTGAGAAAATCGTGCGTGACAGCTCATGCGTAGATAGAACTCTTGGAGTTCTTGAATTATCATCAGGAGTAACTCCAACTTCAAAATCCTGATCTCCTCTAGCAATTTTGAGCAACACATTTCTTTTGGGATTTTTCTTAATGACATCAATAACCTCTTATCAACAGCTAGAATTACATCCCCAGGGAGCAACCCATCTCGGGAAGCAGCCGAAAAGGGTTGAACCTCGGGCACAAGCACCCCAGTGCCACGCCCTGAGAATTTCTGTGACACGAGGAGCAGCATTTGAAGTGGCCAAATGCGCTGGAAGGTTCTGGAAGGAGCAAGAACGAGCTAGAGTATGCTGGAAGACTCTAGAACGTGGTGGAAGGGTCTAGAGTGGCCTGGAAGATTCCGGAATGTAGAAGAACCTTGGAGTGTCCAGAGGAGTCTGGATGGGTCTGGAACATCCTAGAATATCCCGGAGAAGCCTACCATGTACTACACTAGTGTAGAGAGCTCTAAAATGTAGTAGGAAGGGTAGTTGTCCTAGATAGTTCTATGGAGTGTTCTAGATGAGAGTTTGTAGCCCTTGGATCAAAATGATCCTAGCCGTCCATTGAGGTGAGGGATGGCTATATAAGGGTGAGGGGTCTCATTTGCTAGGCACCTAGAGACCTTGAGATCCAAGAGAGCTCTAAGAGTGAAGCACTTGTGAGTGTGAGTGTGAGAGCCTTGTAAAGCTTTGTACACGACTATACTTGTAAAGTTAACTTGTATAGTGAAGACATTCTTCCACCTAAACTTTGTGTGTGTTAGTGTGGTTGAGTGGGTAAGGCTGACTTAGGTGCAACTAAGAGGGTTGAAAAGCATCTAAGGCCGCACGGTTGGCTTGCGAAGTCTAAGGCCGTAACAGTTGGTATTAGAGCATGGGGTTCTTGGGGGTGTACTTGTTGCCCATATGAGATGGGTGTGCGAAAACATGATGGTTCTTGTTGCTGTTATTACTACTACCGCTAGTGGTAGTTGTAAGGCAACTACTTGTGGGTTTCCAACAATGTTCTTGTGTTAAATATTGGCATTTGATATAGATGAGCTTGTTACTTAAATATTTATGAAATGTTTTTTTTTTAAACTTGGATAAAATCAGTGACTTTTTCTCCTATTTTGCTAGTTTGGTTGCTAGGGTGGAAGAGCTGGAGGAGAAGGTGGACTCCTTCGAGGGAAGGGTGAATTTGTCTCGCTTCGAGGTAGCTAGAGACAGTCCAACCCAGCAGAAGGCCCTGGAAGCAAGAGTAACTAGCTTGGAGTTAGAGTTGTGCAAGAAGGCCATCATCGCTGGCAATGGAGGGAATTTGGCTCCAGCCAGGAGGAAGGTTCGTGCGCCAGAACCTAAGAGCTATGATGGTGCGAGGGGTGCCCGAGAGAGCCATGCCAAAGGTGGGAGGCAGTCTCCTCAGACCACCGAGGATGAGCATAGTGATGGCGAGGCCCAGAAGAGACGGGAACGCCGAGAGAAGGGGCAACGCACCGGATCTCCGAGGAAAAGAGGGCAGCTTGAGTGTTTCCTGTGCAACAGACCGCACATGGTGAGAAACTGCCCGAAGAAGAAGAAACAGCTGAGTGCCATGGAGAAGAAGGGAAAGAAGAAGGTGAGGGACTTCGAGAGTGAAGACCCTTCAGAGAAGGAGGCACAGCTGGGGAGCATCCAACTTCTTGGGTCGATATCCCAGAAGAGTAGGGAGATGCCAGAGTCGAGGAACATCCAAAAGAAGGATGAGCGGTGCGCGGAGGTGAAGGCTAAGGGGAAAACTTCACATGCGCAGGAGAAGAGAGGTGCCACTCTAAGCTTTGAGTGCACTAACGAGGCTAAGAGGCTGGGCTTGAAGAGGAAGGGCGGCTCGAGCGTTTCCTGTGCAACGGACCGCACATGGTGAGGGACTACCCGAAGAGGAAGGCACTTTCATGGATGCAGCAGGGTGGGCTGCATGGCAAGGACAACGAGAAAGCACTTGCAGGGATGCAGCAGAGTGGGCCACATGGCAAGGGCAAAGAGGAGGCAAGCACCAGCAGCAACGGACACAGATCATATCGAGACGTGGTGGCTCGGTATGCTTCTGCGTGACGAGGGCGTCACGGAATCGGGTGGGGGAGAGTGTCACGCCCCGAGAATTTCTGTGACACGAGGAGCAGCATTTGAAGTGGCCAAATGCGCTGGAAGGTTCCAGAAGGAGCGAGAACGAGTTAGAGTATGTTGGAAGACTCTAGAACGTGGTGGAAGGGTCTGGAGTGGCCTGGAAGATTCCGGAATGTAGAAGAACCTTGGAGTGTCCAGAGGAGTCTGGATGGGTCTGGAACATCCTAGAATATCCTGGAGAAGCCTACCATGTACTACACTAGTGTAGAGAGCTCTAGAATGTAGTAGGAATGGTAGTTGTCCTAGATATTTCTATGGAGTGTTCTAGATGAGAGTTTGTAGCCCTTGGATCAAAATGATCCTAGCCGTCCATTAAGGTGGGGGATGGCTGTATAAGGGTGAGGGGTCTCATTTGCTAGGCACCTAGAGACCTGGAGATCCAAGAGAGCTCTAAGAGTGAAGCACTTGTGAGTGTGAGTGTGGGAGCCTTGTACAGCTTTGTACACGACTATACTTGTAAAGTTAACTTGTATAGTGAAGGCATTCTTTCACCTAAACTTTGTGTGTGTTAGTGTGGCTGAGTGGGTAAGGCTGGCTTAGGTGCAATCAAGAGGGTTGAAAAGCATCTAAGACCGCACGGTTGGCTTGCGAAGTCTAAGGCCGTGACACCAGGAAAGGCCTCTTGCACAGGCAATCCAACAAACAATACATGTGCAAAGATTATCACATAAGCAAATACTATATTGGCAATGACACCAGCTGAAACAACAAGAACCCTATCAATGATTGGCCTACTCTTAAGGAAATTTTCATCATCTACTGGAATATCACTATCAGGATCATTGTCATGAAATCCCACAAAACCACCAAGAGGAAAAGCTCTAATTGAGTACGCTACATTGTTTGAATTGAATTTAGCTAAAACTGCACCAAACCCAATGGCAAGCTTTTACCAACAATTCCCAATTCAATGATTACAAATGAGCGAGACACAATAGACAAACTCAAGGAGTGTAGCAACTTGGTAACGTTTTGAGGACCAACCTTCTGGAAGGCTTGGGTGAACCTATCTAATAGGCCTCCGCTTCTTAGGGCCTAAGACGCAATAGACAAATTAAATATTATAGAAATATAATTTTTTGAGTAGTGCTATTTATATCTAACAATTAAATTTATTTTTTAAATTTAATGATGTGATAATCTAATACAATAGCTAGTACTTTTTCTTTCGTTTCATTTTATTAACTATCGTTATCGTTGCCCATTAAGCACCTTGCACCTTGATAAAGCACGCTGGGAATGGGAGCAACTCAAACTCGATCTTCCAGACAAACTGTAAGAATTCAAAATGGAGATAAAAAGAGGACCCAATGAACTGGAGTTGATCAAGTATTTACTCAGGGTTACAGAATGTGACCATGTTTTATTCCCCTGTGGATTCAGGGAGCCCATTGGAGTTTCCAAATAAGCTCCAGCAATTTTCTCTACCAGCCGAGATGAAAAAGTTACAAGAACACAATGCAAATGTTTCCCAAGCCCTGTCATTGAAAATTTCATTTATTTTCTTTTTCATTTAATGTTTCATTCCTATTATGTTTCTTTTATTATAGAGCTTTCTGTTTTGGATCCTATTCGTTACATGAATGAAATGAAATTGTCTATTTCATGCCATGTGAAACAACCACATTAGCATATCTTGATTTCAATTTAAAAAATACAGTATGGCAAAGCACTGTCATATAGCAAACACGTTATGACAATTTTATGTCTCCAACTTGTTTGCTCCAGAGCATGAAAAAACTTACCGCAATATCCTTTAAAACAGGAAAACACAACAGAGGTTTTAATGAGAGATCTTGAAAATATTTAAAAAAGAAACAAAATTCCAATATACACTTCTAATTTACGTAGTTTGATCAAAATTTTATTTTGATCTCTATTGTTTCAAATTATATAATTTGGTTTTTACACTTCAAATTTAGTACTAATTTGGTCATTCCGTTCAAATTGAATGTCTAAATTAGCAATTTAAGGACACTTGTCAGTATTTATGAAAATTGGAATAGAATCACCAAATTAAAATTGGATTGTTGAGACCAAATTGTTTAAATTGAAACAATGAGTACCAAAGTTTCAGATCTTAGCACTAACTACCAAGAAAAAAAAACAAAGAAAAAACAAGAGAATAAAATGAGGAAGATCCAAGTTAAATGAAACAGGTTCAGACCAAGGGTGAGCCAAACACTAGCACTGCACAACATCATAGAACAGAAGGAGATCATATCAAGCAAGACATGGTGAACTCAATTGTGGTCACTTTGAAGGAACATCACCAGCAACAGTGCCTAATTTGGTAACCGATATGTGGAAATGTGTTTGGCTGTATAAGAACTTCACAGACTTGCCAAGTATTCACAACATATTCTTAATGAAATCAAGGTTAAGAGTATCCCGGATAATAAGAAATGACCCAAGAAATATAACAAGCATGATCCCCGATGACATGATTCGCTGTTCTATTTCTAAAGGAAGCTTTCTCCCTCCTCTGGCAGCCTCTACAAGGATCAAAGCTAAAGTACCCCCATCCAAAGCAGGCAAAGGAAGGAGGTTTATCACTGCAAGGTTCAGATTGAGCACAGCTGCAAATTGGTAAAGCCCATCAATGTTAGACTTAGCAACTTCAGCACCAACAGCTATAATGGCAACAGGACCTGAAACTTTGCTGGCTGATTGTGAAAAATTAAGAAATGTTTGTTTCAAGCTGTCCAAAACATTAGATGACAGACCCCAAAATTCGCGCCCAGAGTAATTCAGTGTTTCTGTCAGATTCTTTGGCCTAACTTTCGAAAACTTAACATTTGGTGATAATTGAACACCAATTCGACCTGTGCCATCTGAATTCTCATCTGGAGTAACTCCAACTTCAAAATCCTGATCCCCTCTAGCAATTTTGAGCAACACATTTCTTTTGGGATTTTTCTTAATGACATCAACAACCTCAGAAACCGAATTAGGCCCCGTTTCTGATAATTGAATCTTATCAGCAGCTAGAATTACATCCCCAGGGAGCAACCCATCTCGGGAAGCAGCCGAAAAGGGTCGAACCTCGGGCACAAGCACCCCAGGAAAGGCCTCTTGCACAGGCAATCCAACAAGCAATACATGTGCAAAGATTATCACATAAGCAAATACTATATTGGCAATGACACCAGCTGAAACAACAAGAACCCTATCAATGATTGGTCTATTCTTAAGTAAATTTTCATCATCTACAGGAATATCACTATCAGGATCATTGTCAGGAAATCCCACAAAACCACCAAGAGGAAAAGCTCTAATTGAGTACTCTACATTGTTTGAATTGAATTTAGCTAAAACTGGACCAAACCCAATAGCAAATTTACTCACATGAATGCCTTGAAGATAAGCTGCCAAAAAATGACCACTCTCATGAACAACAATGATAGCTGTCAACACTGAAACTGCCTGTAGAACTGACTGAGCACTCTCAAATCCACCAAAATCAAATCCAGAAAGAGCACTAGTCCTGAAATTTTGCCTTCTCCCAAGTGATTGTTTACCATACAAAAATTGATTCTTGCCAAGAAATTTGAGGTGTGAAGGAGAAACTGAGTCAAATATTGAAGAAGGATGAGATTTGGAGAAGTGGGTCTTGGAATTTAGGGGAAAATCTGAGATGGGTGATTTGGAATTGATCAATCTGATAAGAGAGAAAGAAGATAGGGGGGAGAATGAGAGGTTTATAATCATGGTGTTTTCTTGATTTTTCCTTTCCTTGAGAGGGTATTAAGAGGGGAGGATTTGGGCTAATGAGGGAGGATTGAGGAATAGATGGTGGAGAAGGAGGAGAGAGAGGGAGGGATTGGATAATTCGTAGTTTTGGGTCTGTGGATGGGAAGTGAAGAGAGTTGTCAGTAGTAGTGTTTGTGCTGTTGTGTGTCTGTATTTTGGGTTTGGATGTTTTTTGGAATTTAATTGGACTCCAAAAATGGAAGGCCCAATTTTATATGGATGTCACCAGATGCTCTGGATTTAGCATTCAGTCCTCAAACAAAATTTTATTTAAGTTTGAGTAAAAATTCATTAACCACAGTGGTAGAATTGAGACTCACGAAATAATTTTAAAATTTTTTAATAAATATTTGAATCTCATTTAACTTGAGTAAAACTTAGTCTAATATAAATTTAAGTTAATGGGTGAAGTAATTTTTTTGAGTATTTTTATTTAAATTTAAATTTGATATAAATTTGAGTAAACATGAGATGTGCCACCTTGTGATTTAGGAGTGAAGTATTTCATTTTAAATGGAGATTTATTTACTTATTTATTGGTCTTTCAACCTCTAATGAGAGAAATATGAGAAGGTAACATCCATGATATTATAACAACATGAATATGAGTCATACCATGTGAAACTAGTCTGTTTTTATTTTAGTAAAACATAATACTATAAAAATAAAAAATATATATATAATTATTGTAAGATGATTCGACTTATTAAAGTCCTTTCTAATCAGCAAGTGAGTTGATATGAGTTTATATTATGCTTGATGAGTAGAAATAAATTGTGTATTGAGAAATGAGGAGCTATTTGTTATATATGTTGAAAAAAATGATTTTTGGAGACTTTAATTTAATATTAAAGTGTGGTGACTTTAATTAAATATTAAAGTGGGTCCTAACCATTTTTTGTGTTGGGTCCAAGTGAGCCAAAAACCATTGGGTTTTGAATAAGAAATTGTCAAGAAATTGCTTCATGATGTTAGATTCATGAATAGGATTTTAAAGAGTATTTAAATCTTTTTTCTTAGCTAAAGGGTGTGAATCCTTTGGGCATCCATACTTTTCATTTTGTGAAAAGGGGCTATGGATGCTTGGTGTTTTAATGACTAGCCTTAAAGGCTGGAGGCTTTTCCTCTCTCCCCTATACATGTATAAATTGAGACCCTTCTGTCAAGTTTCAATATAGAAATTTTTGCTTCCATTTTACAAGTCAGTTTGCTTGATAGTTCCTATTGTGAGAGAGTGCTGCCATTGTTTTGTTCGCTAAGCTAGACAGATAGTGCTTCTGCCGTAGCTGGCTTTGACCGTCGTATCCTGGGAGACAGACGCCGGGTTTCCTCAAGCACTCGACCCGTGAGACGGTGTAGACACCCCATTTTTGACCGACCTTGAGACTTAGACGTCACCAGTTAAGCACTCGGTGATATTGCATATTGTGCTTGCTCAGAAGTTTCAGAGTCTCGGCTGCGAGCCTTGCCTCCGGACTTCCGAACTCTTTCATGCTTTGCCTCGGTTTGCGAACCAGGCTCGGTTTTCTCTGTTTTCTCTTCGCGAAGGGAGTGAGAGGTCTCGTAGATCATCTCTCAGTGGCCGTAGGCTACGTTTTGCGATCGTAGGCCATTTTTCCCGTTTGGAGCCCGGTTTCTGGTTTTTCGGAGCCGTTGGCCGTGTGCCTCGGTTCGGGACCGCTTAACCACCTCCGTTTGCCCCGGTTTTTGGCATACATCTTATTTGCTCCCCTTTGAGGGACACTGTGGTCCGAGAGACCAACTTCGTGGTCGAACACCACTCCCGGTGCTTAACAGTCAATTTTCGGGGCCCCGGACTGCGCGTTTCGGCCCCCCGAACCTTCATTTTGCATCGGTTTGGGCTCATTTTTGGCAGGGACTTCTGTTTCATTATTAAGAAGGTCGTAAAAGGGTGGGAGGCCAGCAATTGTTCTGTCAGCCAACTTTATCCCTTCATCGCCCTCCGTCGCCCGATTTTTCTCACTTGAAAGCCAATGTTGACCACCCTAAGGCCACTTTTTCCAGCCCTAAACCACATATTTGTGTTGTACACACCAGGGAGGCCACCAATATCATATGGCCGGCCAGTAATTGTGTGTGACCCTTTTGAACCCCTCCTAAAAGTGGCCTTTTCTCTCTCCTGGTTCACTTTCTCCAGTTTTTGACCACATGGTTGTGTTGTGCACACATGGGAGGCCACCAATATCATATGGTCGGCCACTAATTCTCATTGACCTTTTTGACCCTTGGCCGGCCGGCCATGGGAGGTAGCCGGCCGGCCACCTGCAGCTTGGATAACTGGCCGGCCATGATCCTCAGGGTTGGTACATTACAAATATGTATTCATTTTCCCCGGATTTAGTATCCGGGAGGGGGTTGCCATTTTGGAGGGAAACTTGGTTGGTTTTCCCTCCATTTTTTCCCCCCTTTCCCCCCTCCTTTTGCCTTTATAACAGCAGCTCCAGCTGCTGGTTTGGAGGTTGGAAAAATCACCTAAGAGCCTTTGCATTATATCCCTCTCCTTCTCTATTTCCAAGCAAAAAACCCTCAAGTCCTACATCCCTTTCTTCATCAACCCATAGCCCTACCCTTCCATCCTCCATTCCAGCAGCTGGAGGTTCTTCTTCAAGGCCTAGGAGTGCTGCAACTCAAGCCAAAAGGGTGCCAAGGCATAGTCTTCAAGGGTGAGCACCATTTTCTCTCTTTTTAGCTCGTTTTTGTATCATTTCTTAGCCATATTTGCTCGCTGTTTTGGGCTCCGACCTTAACTGGGACTAGGCTTATTTTGAGCTAATTTTCACTTTTTTTAAGGGTCTCTCACTGTTTGAGGCCTTCTTGATGCACTTGCTTCATTATCCCCCTTGTATGCCATTATCTTGCGTAGTATTTTTGGCCTATGTAAAAACTGTTTTGAGCTCTGTCATGAACTGAGAAGAGGCTTATTTTGAGCCATTCTTCAACATTGTTGAAGGGCTCATTGCTGTTTGAGGCCTCTATCTTCTACTTGCCTTTATAACTCTCTTTTGGCCATATTTTTGCATGATTTGTTAGCCTATTATGCTTCTGTTTTCAGAACTGAAAACAGTCTTATTTTGACCCCCTCTTCATGTTTCATTGAGGGTCTTTTACTTTTTGAGGCATCCTTTTTATACTTTGTGTTATATCCCTCTTTTTGGCCATATTTTGCATAGTATTTTTGGCTTGTATATATGTTGTTTTGGGTCTGGCCACCAATTGTAAAAGGTCTTATTTTGGGCCCCTCTTCAACATTGTTAAAGGGCCCTAATCTGTTTGGGGTCATCAGCTGTGAGTTGCTTCTTTATCTCACATTTAGGGCCATTTTTGCATGCTAGTTTTGCCCTATTTATGTTTACTGTTTGGCCTTGCTTAAAACTGCAAACATGCTTGTTTTGGGGCTTCCTTGAATCTGTATTCACATGTCATGATCAAATAATGCATGCTTGATGTAGCTACAAGTCATTTCATGCGCTTAATCTTGCATTTCGGGACCATTCCTTGCATCGGGTGCCATGTGTTCATCATTCAGGGCTGTTTTGCATCACTTATTGCCTCTGAAATTCGCATGCTAATATGCCATATTCTGTGCCTTGCCATGTCTTGTTAGAGTGGCATTTGGTGCCTTAGGGTCGGTCCTCGGTTTGCGTGCACGTGTGCACGCATCTCGAGTGTCTCATTTTCATCTAATGGCCTCCTATGTGAGTGTGGCTGAGGTCCACTTGTGTTGGTGTAAGTCTATTGTGCATTGTGTATGTCATTTCATTTCATAGCATTGCGTATGCTAGGTTACATGTTAGAGCATTGTGTATGCCATTTTATTTCATAGCATTGTGTATGCTAGGTTGTATCTTAGTTGCATTTCAAGCATATCATGCATATTGCATTGTGCTTGGGATAGGGGTTAGCCCGAGCACGAGAAACGAGGGACGTTTCGTACTCCGAGTGACGGAACGTATCTCAATTCCCAGTCACCGACACTCCGGATTATCCACGATGGAGTTAGGTCTTGTTGGGTTTTCATATGCATTCATTCTATATTGAGTTGCACAATTCGACCCCTCGGCCATCATGCATCGAGATGCGTGATTGGTGGCACGAGGATCGAGGCATGCATACATCTGTGAAAATACATTGCTATGCCCCTTTCCTGCTCTCTGTTGCAGCAAATTAAGAATTAGCAACCTTCTGGAGTTTGGCGCGCTTCCCAAGAATAAATGCAAAACAGAGGCTAATTGGGGCATCCCAATGAATTTCCGCGCAAGGCAGCCCAAACATACATTATTCATCAGAATTAAGCCAGTCCCTGGCTTGCATGCCAGTTTATAGCTTTCTCAGTTAATTTGTAAATTAATTAGGATTTCTGTATTATTTGGACTGTAATTGTTTTGGACTATACTATTCATTCGGACCCTCTGCGCGAGGGCA